AGCTGTAGGGAGTATCTAACAGCATAGATGCAAGCACACATATTTGACCACATTATACCAAATTAAACAAAATATCTTCATCTTATTCTCTGATGATATTATTTGATTCTAGGAAAGCATTGGTATTTCAGTCCATCTGTTTTATTATTTCATCAAAAATATACGATCTGTGTTGTCCCATTTTTAACAGGAGAAATTCAGATCTTGCTGTGTTTCAGTGGTTAGAGGATGGGTCTGTGGACTCAAGGGTCCTGAGTTCAATTCCGGCCAAGGGCACATGCAGGTTCCATTCACTAGAGGGGGGCATGCAGGAGACAACCAGTCAATGAATGATTCTCTCTCATACTTGATGTTTCCATCTCCCTCTCCCTCCTCCTTGCTCTCTGAAATTAAAAAAACATAGAAAACATAAACCAATTTTGAATGAATGGAAGAATTGAATTGGAAAATATTAGTTTAGTTAAATAAAATCTATAGGATGATAACAAGATAGATATGTTCAATATTATTGCTATTTGTTGTTGACTCAAATCTGAATATTTTATGAATAAAATCCAGAGATTGAAATATTTTAAACATTGGTCCTTTCAAAACACTTTTTCCATGTTGGTGTAGTGTTATTAATCTTTACATCTATTTCCTGCTCTCTGCATGCTTGTGAGTGTGAGAAGGAAAAAAAGATTGTTAGCCAGGAATGCAGCTTCCCCCTTGGACAGTGGAGTGGATGAGCCCAGAACCACGTCCTCATTATTGTGTTTCATGAATAAACCAACAACCATTCTTATGTTCAACGTCAATGCTTTATTGGAAGGTGAACACACAGTCCAATCAGTTCTGACAGCAAAGGTAGAGGGTCCCAGGCTTATGAGGGAGATGCAGGCACAGTTGAAACTCTACCCATAATTCTGAGAAGTAAAGACGTTTGTGGAATAACCAGCATGAGGTTAGCTGTCCGGTTACTTAGATCCAATGTGGGAGGAAGTCCCTTGTGAGTTGAGATGCTGAGCTGCTGGGCAGGATCTCAGTAGAAGCCAGAGTATCCGTATCCCCCACAGCAGCACGGGCGCCAGCAGCCACAGCCATACCTTCTGTAGCCACAGCCACAGCCCAGGCCACCAAGGCCGCCCCAGCCCCAGCCGGAGCCATAGCCATAGCCACGGCCACCCCAGCCGTAGCCGAGGCCTCCGTAGTAGCTGCCATAGTAGCTCATGGTGTCAGAGGGAGTGTGTTTCTGTTCAAGATGAGATCCTGAGAGTGAGTGCCAGTGAGTGGGGAGGAGGGAGCTTATATACCTGAGCCAGCAGGTGCTGAATCCCGTGACTATTTCTGAGTTTCATTCCAAGAGATTCCTGTCCCTGAGGCAGCTTGTTAATCTGTTTGCTGACGCCAGAGATGCTCATATTTGTGAAAATTTGGAGCCGGCACAGCTGCCTGGTCAGAGCCCCTGGAACCCATGACAGTGTGTGTCTAAGGAGAAGCACATCTGCCTCCACGTCACAGAATAAACACTCACTGAACACAAATCTCTATTCCTAAGTGTGTGGTCTTCATCATGTTGGCTGGCGTGTTCTCATTACATATTGTGTCCTTGTAATTAGTATATCATTCTTTGGATTGTCCTATCTTATTTTCATCTCAGTTCAAATACTGTGATCTAATTTAAGATTCTCACACCTATGAAATTTCTTGTCAAGTTGAAAACACATATGAGAAAACCATGTGGATTTTACATGTCTTCTCGCAAAATACCCTTTTGATTACTCAACAGTGAAGAGCCTTTCAGAAGCTGAGGGTCTGACCACAACAACAAGTTCACACGTGTCACTCCAGGCTGAACACCCGTTCAAAAAATTCTCCTTAAACATTACCCTCTTTTTCAAAACAGAAACCTGTTATCCCAAAACATGGGAGAACTTGCCTCCTGCTTTGCAGTTGCTTTTTCTTTTCTCTCTCTGTTCTTCCTGGAATCCCACCATCCTCTGTCCCATCCAGCCTCTCTTTAAGTCATCATTCTGCTCTCAGTCCCACACACACTCGCAGGAGCCAGGTCTTCCTCTCTGATCCAATTCTTCCATCAGCACTTCATCCCTCCACTCAGGTTTTTAATTTTATCCTGAATTTTCTTCCTCATATGTAATTTATTTAATTTTTTTTTATTACAGAGGAAAAGCAGGATGAAAAGAAATAGAAATATCAATGATGGGAAAAATATCATTAATCCGATGCCTCTTGCATGCCACATTCTGGAGGTCAAACCTGCAACTCCGGCATGTCCCTTGACCAGGAATCACATGAACCATCACCTCCTGGTCAATCGGTTATGGCTAACCACTGAGACATACCGGCCAGTTGTTTCCCTGTATTCTTTATTAATTCTCTGTGTCCTTCCCATTACTTTCTCTTCACCAACCCACAAACACTTTTACTGTATCTTTTATTTCAGAATACTTGGCATGGAATCTGACATGGGTTGTATTAGTAACAATATAATGACTCAGCATGTTTATCCCTCACAGTGGCCGCCCCAGCAATGACCTGGCAATCACCTGTCACTGTGCAAACATATCACAACATTACCGACTCTGTGCCCCTTTCCCTTTCACTCAACCCCAAACATTTTCAAAAAGATATTCTAATTCTTCAGGGTTTTAAATTAAACAGACTTCTGAACTCTTAAGATTATATAATACTAGAGTCCAGGTGCATGGATTCGTACGCTGGTGGGGTCCCTCGTCCTGGCTGTGCCCTCTCGCAATCTGGAACCCCTCTTAGGGTTGTCTGAGATCCGGTTTCAGCCTGATGCCCACAGGCTCAATTCAAAGGGGAGGGAGCCCGATCCTGTGTGTTGATCATCTGTCCCCTGTGGGTCAGTGCGGGTCATAGCAGCCAGTCAATGTGTCATTCAGTCGTTAAATAGATTAGGCTTTTATATATACATATAAGTAGATTTTAAGCAGAATCTCTCTCCTGCAATCTTAATGCCTGGAAAGAGGGGTATATATTGAGGGCACAAGAAGACATATGGGACATGCTTTATTACACACAGCAGCAGCCACTGTAGGCAGTGAGGATGTGACTTTGGCAAAAACAGAAATATGACAGAGGTTCGCCACCAGTATTCAGCAAATTTCCTCAGCTCCTGAGGAAACCCGAGTGGGAGTCCAGGGTTCAAGGTGAAGACCTACAGGAGTGTGCCCACCCTGAGGCTTGGTCTTTACTATTGTGTGTGCTTCCCATGACCTTAATAAGTACCTAGGGCTTTGTTTTACAGGTGGTGCTGGTTTTTTTGTTCTGTTTTAAAGTTTATAAGTGTCAGAGGCAAGCTCCTCACCTGGGACTTGACCCTTCTGGCTGAGGGTGATTGGAAGGACACAAGGGCACAAGCAGACATATGGGACATGCTTTATTACACACAACAGCAGCCATAACAGGCTGGTCAGTGGCTCCTTTCATACATGCCCAAACATGATCAAACAAAAGAGGATTTTTGCCAAATAGATACATCAGTATTTTGGCTACAGAAAGGAACTTGGGTGCAATGTATGGCTTAATGCTCCTTGTCTTATGCCTGCATGTAGCAACTCAACCTTGAACACTTGGATTAGGATTCACACACTCAGAGTGACCCTGAACATTCAGAGTACTCTAGACTACGCCCCATAATAAGTAACATATTTTTTTCTTTCTTTTATCTTTCTTTTTTTTTAATACAGAGAGAGAGGGAAGGGGGAGAGAGAGAAACATCAATGATGAGAGGTATCATTGATCAGCAGCCTCCTGCATGTCCCCCATTGGGAATTAAGTCTTCAACCCAGGCATGTGCTGGGTTCAGGAATCAATCCATAATGTCCTTGTTCATAGGTCTGTGCTCAACCCCTGAGACACTCAGGTTGAACATAAGTTACATGTTCAACAATAGATTTCCCTTCACTGTTTTTCAAACACAACATATTTGCTGAGTGATTGAAGGATTAAATTCTGTCTGCCACAGCTGTAGGAAGTATCTAACAGCACAGACTCAAGCACACATATTTGCCCAAATTATACCAATTTAAACAAAATATATTCATCTCATATTATTCGCTGATGATATTATTTGATTCTAGGCAAGCAATGGTATTTCAGTCCATGCTTTTCTTTATTTTATCAAAAATATATGTCCCATGTTGCCCCTTTACTATAAGGAGAAAATCATATCTTGCTGAAATTCAGATTTTTAAGAAAGCTCTTTGGTTTCAGTTTCAGCTAAATAATATTGATAATTGGTTCCCAATTATGTCTTATTTTTTCTTTCCATGATGGGATTGAAGCTAATGCCTCAGTGTGGTGATGGTGGTGAGGAAAGATGCCAGTGAGACACAGTGAGAACAGAGGAAAGGAACAGACACATTCGATTAAAAATGATTGGAGTTGCCCTCTCTAGTTTGGCTCAGTGGATAGAAGATGGGTCTGTGGACTGAAGGGTCCCAAGTTGGATTTCAGCCAAAAGCATATGCCCACATTACAGATTCACTCAACAGAATGGGCCATCCAGGAGGCAACCAATCAATGACTGATTCTTTCTCATCCTTGATATTTCTATATCCCTCTCCCTCTTCCTTGCTCTCTGAAATTAAAAGCAAAATTAAAAACATAAACCAATTTTAATAATGGAAGGATTGACTTGGGAAATGTTAGTTATGTAAAACCTATAGAATGATAAATAGATATATTAAATAGTCATTGCTATTTGTGTTAACTTAAGTCAGAATATTTTATGAATAAAATCAAGAGGTGGAAAGATTTAACTCATTGGACTTTTCAAAAAAATTTTTCCATTATGTGTAGACTTATTAATCTTTACATCTATTTCCTGCCTCTCTGCATGCTTGTGAGTGTGAGAAGGAAAAGAAAAACTGTTAGCCAGGAAGAGTGCTGCCCCCTTGGACAGGGGAGTGGATGTGCCCAGAACCACGACCTCATAACTGCATTTTGTGAAGAAAACAAAACCATTCTTTGTGTTCAAGGTCAATGCTTTATTGGAAGGTGAACAGACAGTCCAATCAGTTCTGACAGCAAAGGTAGAGGATCCCAGGCTTATGAGGGAGATGCAGGCACAGTTGAAAATCTACCCATAATTCTGAGAAGTAAAGACGTTTGTGGAATAATCCAGCATGAGGTTAGCTGTCTGGTTACTTAGATCCAATGTGGGAGGAAGTCCCTTGTGAGTTCAGGTGCTGAGCTGCTGGGCAGGATCTCAGTAGAAGCCAGAGTATCCGTATCCCCCACAGCAGCACGGGCGCCAGCAGCCACAGCCATACCTTCTGTAGCCACAGCCACAGCCCAGGCCACCAAGGCCGCCCCAGCCCCAGCCGGAGCCATAGCCATAGCCAAGGCCACCCCAGCCGTAGCCGAGGCCTCCGTAGTAGCTGCCATAGTAGCTCATGGTGTCAGGGGGAGTGTGTTTCTGTTCAAGATGAGATCCTGAGAGTGAGTGCCAGCGAGTGGGGAGAATGGAGCTTATATACCTGAGCCAGCAGGTGCTGGATCCCGTGACCATTCCTGAGTTTCATTCCAAGAGATTCCTGTCCCTGAGGCAGCTCGTTAATCTGTGTGCTGACGCCAGAGATCCTCATATATGTGAAAATTTGGAGCCGGCACAGCTGCCTGGTCAGAGCCCCTGGACCCCATGACAGTCTGTGTGTCTAAGGAGAAGCACATCTGCCTCCACGTCACAGAATAAACACTCACTGAACACAACTCTCCATTCCTGAGCGCGTGGCCTTCGTCATGCTGGCTGGTGTATTCTCATTACATATTATGCCCCTGTAATTTGCATATCATTCTTTTAATTATCATTCCTTACTTTCATCTCAGTTCAAATACTCGGATCTATTTTAAGAATCTGAGACCCATGAAGTTCCTTAATTGTCAAATGTATTTCTCTTAGGTTGAACACACACATGAGAATACTATGTTGATTTCACATATCTTCTTGCAAAATACCCTTTTGGTCACTCAACACAATGAAGTGCCTTTCAGAAGCTGAGGGTCTGACCACAACAACAAACACACGTGTCACCCCAGGCTGAACCCCGTTCACAAAGTTCTCTTTAAACATTATCCTCTTCTTCAAAACAGAAACCTGTTATCCAAAAACATAGGAGATCTTTTCTCCAGCTTTGCAGTTGGTTTTTATTTTCTTTCTCTGTTCTTCCCTGAATCCCACCATCGTCTGTCTCATCCAGCCTCTCTTTACGTCGTCATTCTGCTCTCAGTCCTCACACACTCGCACGGCCCAGGTTCCTCTCTGATCCAGTTCTTCATCAGCACTTCATCCCTCTACTTAGGTTTTTAATTTTAGCCTGATTTTTCTTCCCAAAGTGTATTTTATTCTTTTTTAAAGTTTGTTTTTTATTGATTTCAGAGGAAAAGGAGGAGGGATAGAGATAGAAACATCAATGATGAGAGAAAAATCATTAATTGGCTGTCTCCTGCACTCCCCATACTGGAGATCAAACCTGCAACCAGGGCATGTGCCCTGACCAAGAATCACTTTGAACTGTGACCTATTGGTTCATAGGTCAGTGCTTAACCGCTGAGACACATCGGCTGGATGTGTCCGTATATTCTTTACCAGTTCTCTGTGTCCTGCTCCTTATTTTCTGTTCACCAACCAGCAAATACTTTCACTTTATCTTTTATTTCAGAATAGTTGGCATGGAATCTGACATGGGTTGTATTAGTTACAATATAATGACTCAGCATGTTTATCCCTCACAATGGCCGTCCCAGTAATGAGCTGGCAATCACCTGTCACTATGCAAACTTCTCACAGCATTACCAACTCTGTGCCCCTTTCCCGTTTCACTCAACCCCCAACATTTTCAATAAGATATTCCAATTATTCAGAGTTTTAAATTAAAAAGACTTCTGAACTCTTAAGATTATATAATATTTTAATCAGAGTCTCTGCAGTCTTGATGCCTGGAAATGCTGCAAAAAATAAACATGGCAGCAAAGATATGACTGAGGGAAAAACAGAAATAGAGGTTAGCCGCCAGCCTTCTGCGAATTTTCTCAGCTACTGAGGAAACCTGAGTGAGAGCCCAGGGGTCACAGTGAAGCCCTACTGAGTGTACCCATGCCTGGGCTTGGTCTTTACCATTGTGTGTGCTTCCCATGACCTTAACATGTACCCAGGGCTTTGCTTTATGGGTAGTGCTGTGGTTTTTATTTTCTTGTTTGAGGCTTATACATGTCAGAGGCAAGCTCCTCAGCTGTATCATGACCCTTCTGGGTGAGGGGCATTGGAAGGACACATGGGTACAAGTAGACATATGGGACATGCTTTATAACACACAACAGGAGCCATTGCAGGCTGATCAGTGGCTCCTTATATACATACTCAAACACACTCAAACAAATAGGCTTTTTGCCAAATAGAAACATCAGTATTTTGGCTACAAAGAGGCACTTAGGTCACTGTATGGCTTAATGTATCCTTGTCTTGTGCCTGCACATAGCAACTCAATCTTGAACACTTTTATTAGGATTCTCACGCTCAGAGTGACCTTGAGCACCCAGAGTACTCTAGACAGGGCCCCATAGTAAGTAACATATTTTTTTTTCTTTTCTTTTCTCCTTCTTCTTCCTTATTACAGAGAGGAAGGGAGATGGAGAGAGAGATGGAAACGTCAATGATGAGAGGAATCATGACCCCCATTAGGGAGTGAGCCTGCAACCCAGGCATGTGCCCTGACCGGAAATCATACCACGACCTCCTGGTTCATAGGTCAATGCTCAAGCACTGAGGCACACAGGCTGGGCATAAGTTACATTTTTTGAGAATACATTTCCCTCCCATCTGAATGTATTTACTGTTTTTCAAACAAAAGAGATTTTCTGAGTGACTGAAGGATTAAATTCTGTCTGCCACAGCTGTAGAGAGTATCTAACAGCATAGACTCAAGCACACATATTTGACCAAAATATACCAATTTAAACAAAATATCTTCATCTTATATTATTTTCTGATGATATTATTTGATTTTAGGAAAGCAATGGTATTTCAGTCTATCCGTTTTTTTTTTTTAATTTTTATTATTTCGTAAAAAATAAATGCCCCGTGTTGCCCCATTTTTATCATTTAGATCTTGCTGTGTCTCAATGGATAGAGGATCAGTCTGTGGACTAAAAGGTTCTAAGTTTGATTCCAGACAAGGGCACATGCAGGCTCCATCACCAGAGGGGCCATACAAGAGACAACCAGTCAATGAATGATTCTCTCTCATTCTTGATGTTTCTATCTCCTTCTCCCTCCTCCTTGCTCTCTGAAATTAAAAGCTAAATTAAAAACATAAACCAATTTTTAATGAATGGAAGGATTGAGTTGGGAAGTGTTAGTTGAGGTAAATAAAATCTATATATTGATAAATAAATAGATAAGTTAAATAATCATTGTTCTTTGTTGTTGCCTTACATCTGAATATTTTATGAATAAAATCAAGAGATGGAAAGATCTAAATCACTGGATCTTTCAAAACTTTTTTGCATTTCAGTGTAGACTTATTAATCTTTACATCTATTTCCTGCCTCTCTGTGTGCTTGTGAGTGTGAGAAGGAAAAGAAAGATTGTTAGCCAGGAAGGTGGCTTCCCCCTTGGACAGGGGAGTGGATGTGCCCAGAACCACGTCCTCATTATTGTGTTTTATGAATAAACCAACAACCACTCTCTGTGTTCAAGATCAATGCTTTATTGGAAGGTGAACAGACAGTCCAATCAGTTCTGACAGCAAAGGTAGAGGATCCCAGGCTTATGAGGGAGATGCAGGCACAATTGAAAATCTACCCATAATTCTGAGAGGTAAAGACGTTTGTGGAATAACCAGCATGAGGTTAGCTGTCCAGTTACTTAGATCCAATGTGGGAGGAAGTCCCTTGTGAGTTCAGGTGCTGAGCTGCTGGGCAGGGTCTCAGTAGAAGCCAGAGTATCCGTATCCCCCATAGCAGCATGGACGCCAGCAGCTGTAGCTCCTATAACCATAGCCACAGCCCAGGCCACCAAGGCCGCCCCAGCCCCAGCCGGAGCCATAGCCATAGCCACGGCCACCCCAGCCGTAGCCGAGGCCTCCGTAGTAGCTGCCATAGTAGCTCATGGTGTCAGGGGGAGTGTGTTTCTGTTCAAGATGAGATCCTGAGAGTGAGTGCCAGCGAGTGGGGAGGAGGGAGCTTATATACCTGGGCCAGCAGGTGCAGAAGCACATGCCACCTGTTTGCTGTCATCCGTGTCACCCTCGTTGACGTAACACCAACCTCTGAGGATGCCGCGTTCTCATCAAAGGGTCTCGCTTGCGTTGCTGCCAAGTCAGCGTGTTCCTTACACGCATGGCGTCTCTTTTATGAGGAGAAATTGCTGCATCTTCAAAGCTGGACATACCAGATGAAGCACCATCCTTCAGAGCCACATGCATTGCGTAACACGTGGTGTATTTTAGAGTCGGTGTTGCTTCATCTCAGGCTCTCCCGGGTTGTTATGGTTCCCTGACGGTCAGGAGACCTCGGTCAGATCGGGTCTGAAATAACCCTGCGCTTCAGAGGCTCCGTGCTCCTGGGTGGGGTCGCTGATCGGAGCTCTGACACCTCTGGCCACCTGGAGCCCCGCCCCCACTGGGGCACTTGCATGGACCTTCAGAAACAAGAGTAGAATCAGGGCCATCCTCCTTCCATCATGTCCTCATTTGGCTCTCATAACCATAATATCTTTTCTGCTTTGCCTACCAGTTGGAGAGTAAACAGCGTTTGGGTTAATAACACGGGGAAATAGTGTTCACATTTGGGAGACAGATCACAGCAGACAGCAATGTGTTCAGAAGCCCTTTCCCACCCTCCCTCTAGCTGGTCACCTGCTCCCAGTGCTCCCAGAACTGGTGTTCTTGGTGAGACTGTTAATCATGGACTTAATTTCCATAGGAGAGACAAAACTATTCTGATCTTTCTTTTAGGGTCAGGTGTCATAAATGCAATATCTATGTATCTATATATGTAAACAGTAATATGAAAATTAGCCGGGCGTCATGACCAGCTCAGGAGGAGCTAGGTGTGCAGATGGGCAGGAGGGGCTGCGTGCTGCCCCCAGCCCAGTGGACACACATAAGGGGTGGGGAGTGCTATGAGCAGCCATGGAACTGCACGGAGCACGCCCCTGTTGGCTGGTGGGAGCAAAGCAGCCCGGGTCCTGGATGCCGGAGGGAAGCTGGTGCCAGCAGCCACGGGGAGGAAGGCCTATTCTTGCACGAATCTTTGTGCATCGGGCCTCTAGTATAGTGGAAAAGGCTAAGTGTATAACCGTACGACTGGTCACTATGACGCTCACTGACCACCAGGGGCCAGACGCTCAGTGCAGGAGCTGCTGAGCTACAGTGACCTGGCAGCAGTGGTTCTCGGGGGATGCACTCCAAAACCAGAGAGGAGGGAGCCCATTCCTTGTGGGGCCATGTGCTTCCACCTTAGGTGGTGGGTGATG